AAAAATATGTAGTCCATTTTTGTTGCTTAAATGCACAATGTCGTCAGCTTGCAGATATTTGTCTTTGTCCGTTACAGCAACCGGCTTGTCGTGGTGGTGGGGGGGGGGGGAGGGAGGCTCCGTTGTAGCTTTAGCCGTTGATATGCTAGCAGGGTGGCTAACGACATGGCGGATATTTGTTCCCTCGGTTCTCTTCCTCTCGTCACTGCCTCATGCGTGTCTGTCTGCCGAGGCGTCCCCGGGGGAATCTCGAAGTCTCCGTTTATTCCTTGGTCTCCGCTGTCTCCACGGTCTCTGTTGTCGTCGCGTAGTTGTTGTTGCAGCGGAAGAGATGCTAGTTCTGATGCTAATTGAGATGCTAGCTCCTCGAGCCTGCAGGACTGGCTTCTTGTCTGCACCGGGCCCGGCCCGTGATAAGAGCGAAGCAAATATTCGCATTGCGTCCGGTGTGAACGCAGCATAGTGTCCTCTGTAGTACTGTAGTCCCTTGATTGGAGCCTCCTCCTTAGCAACGGTCTACTCTCCTTAGCAACGGCCTGCTATCTAGAAAGAACAGACCTCTGAATGTCGAAAAGTGACCTATCAGAATCAAGTATGAATTAAAACCTATGATTCTAACACTGATTCCTCTTCTTATAATATAAATAATGATTCAGTAAGTGCACTTCTAGGATTCTAAAATGATGTTATGTTTTGCAGGTATGAATGTAGTCTTTCCTCGGACCCCTTTCAAGTGAGTGTGGTACTAAAGGACACTAGGACCATTAACCCTTTTAAAGTATACAAATATATTTGTGTTCCTAGGTGTGTCAAACCCCTACTTGGTAGAAATATCTACAGAAAGTGTTGTCCATATATACACGTCATTCAAATGAGACAAGAAAATGGCATTGCAAGTAGTGACAGTCAGCTCAGATTTTACAATATATCATTTTATTTTGCGTTCTCAACATCGTCACAGTACTAGTTTTACATCAATAGGGTTTTGTCTACTTAAGAAACAGAATGCATAATAAAACAAGAGCACTCCTTCCTTTTGTTGACTTTAAAAGTGGGCTGTGGGTACGAGAGACCAGGTGCATCTTGGGAAATAAGTCAACTTTACAGTCCATTTCTAGTTCCTATGATAATTCATTTCTGTCCGAGGCAGAGAGAAGCAGTCCATGATTATGTAAATATCAGAGGGGAGCATTGAATGCACCTTCAATGTAACTGCAGACAATGAGCAGTAGTAATAATAATAATTAATATTATTTACACACTATTTACATGTTTTTCAAATTCTTTACTACCAAGCCACCCTTAAAATGCTCTTAGAAGCCTCTTCGTAAAGTTACACACCCCTAGATGTATGTTGCTATTTACACTCAGCGATACACTGCCATGTGTTACTGTACAGCGGGAAGAGAGGTGAAATGCATGCCGGAGTAGAACTTTAAATGAAAATACACACTAAATGTAAACAAGCATCAGTCAGAGAAATCAAAGCTACATTGAAGAGAGGCGAGTCGAGCCCGCTGCTTAATAACACACTTAAAAAACTGAAAAGAGAACAGAAAAGAAACGGTAGGCATCAGCGGCAACGAAGCACCTCACATGGAGTCCAGACAGGTTTATTATTGATCAGTCGTTAACAATTGTATCTGTTTTATTGTGTTGCACTGTTGGAGGAGCCTGTGACCTCAGATTTTCATTGACATATCTACACTGTAGCTACATGACAATAAAAGCCTTGAATCTTGAATGAATCTTGAATAGTCTGATGCTCTAAAACACTCTGGACCGCCATTATTCAGGAAACAACCAATATTTCCTTTACACTGGTTTCTTCTTGCACTTTTATTTCAACACGTCTGATTGGTCAGCTTGTGGATTGTGCTGGGACAATTGAATTTGGTCTCCTACTAATTTACAATTGTTTAAAATGTAATGACCATGCAATATCGGCACTTTTTTATCTCCATAGAACCGAAACAGTGATGTTTGAAATGCTGTGTAGCTCAGTGAATACATTTAGGATCATAACAAATATTTGAGCTGTGCCCCTGACTTATTACCCTTTATAGAGGGTTTGGGCATCTCTAGTGACTTCATTAATGGTTAATAATGCTTTATACATCAGTCATAAGCTATTAATAAGTACATTTGGGTTTATAGGTTGTGATAAAATCTCCTTATCCTGTCGCTCGTCTCATGATGAACGTTGTTTATAGACTTCGGCCTAAATGACGATGAAAATATATGCGGCATTTGCTGTGCTCTGTTCCCAGAAAGGGTTTCATATCACACAAAGTACATTCTATGTGGCGTTTGGTAGAGGGGGTTTTTATCTCAGGTGACTTTAAATCACTGCAGGAAACTCTGAGGAAGACTGGTCTAATAAAGCTGCCCGGTTCTCGTAAATGAAATAAGATATATTAACCTTTTTTACCGAAATGTATCACGGGTATCCTCCTTTCATTGTACTAGGACTGCATGGACTAGTACATTGGACTAAGTAACATTTGCTGCAGGATTAAGCAATGTTTCCGAGCATGGCAACCCAAAAGTCGTGCTTATGAATACCTTATTCATTATGTATAAAGCATTAGTTGTTTGAAAAGTGAATTGGTATTACCTTGGCCAGAGAGGTAATGTTTTGTCTTGGTTTGTCTGTGTGTCTATCTGCAGGATAACGTGATAGTTAATACATGTTTGTCCGATGTTGATGAAACTTGGTGGACGGGTGTAGCATTGGCCAATTAAAAGAACCCATTACATTTTGAGGCGAATACAACAAAATACATCACACTCTCGTTTACATTGTGATGCCTTTTTGCTTCATTTGTGTAGTGTCAAAATAATTGGAAACATTTCAGAGATGTTAGAGATACAATACAACGGCGGCCATGTTGTTTCAACATTACGACTTATGTAAAGTCAATAGAACATTTTTGTCTGAAAGTAGGACCATTAATTATTTTATAAAGGGTTGATAACCTTGAGGAAGAAGGATTAAGATTGCCTGGATGTCACTCGACAACAGTAATCAGTGAGCTACTGACAGAGACAGATGATAAATATGAAGATAAAAGACATTATACTCTGTCTGTCCATTATCACTGTGATTTCCTGATGACGGCTACATCTGTCTTCACACCTGCTCTCCTCTCACAGCTGTGATAACACCCGGCTTTGTTGTACACTAAAGATCCATTAAATGTGGATTAAGAAACGATACAGATTTGGTTATCCTCCAGAGTGACACCAATACATAGTTGACTTCAGGTTAGCTGTAATTGAAGAAGTCAAAACTATTCTACCATTAGTTTTTAACAACTGTAACATTGATATAGTTTGGGAATACACAATAGTTAGAAAATAGCCTTGAAATACATTTTTACATGCAATTATTTTCTTTGACATTCTTTATATAGAAGGTCCTGTCCCTCCGAACCCATGTGGACACTCGCTGAAACATCGAGGAAGAAATGACAAGAGGATGTCGGGGAAAAGACGATTACAGAAATGGAAAAGGAACACCAGATAGAAATGGCTTTTGGACAAAACAACAAAGGGAGATACATATTGCACATACAAGTAAAAAATAAAGTCCATTTCATATTCTTCAAGCAGATACAGACGGCCATTGATATCAGCTAAGTGCTGTTTCTACCAACAGGAAAAACACCTCCGCTCTGCACACACTCCAGATACCGTGCACAGGATCCCTTAATATGTCAGAAAAGATGATTGATATGACACTGCCATTGGTAGCGAAGAGTTTCTGTCACCGTTACAGAATGATAATTATTGTGCTGTGGCTCGGAGGGAAAAAAGAAAGTCTGATGGTGGGAGAAAATCACTCGTAGCTCGAGAGATGCACAAAGAAACCGAAGAGGAACAGGCCACAATCAGCCAGCTGAGAGCTTCCACATCAGGGGAGAAACGTTGTTGTTTCCCTGCTACAGTACACACACCACTTTCTGCCAAAAGAAAAACCACCTCCTCCTCCTCCTCCTCCTCCTCCTCCTCCTCCTCCTCCTCCTCCTCCTCCTCCTCCTCCTCCTCCTCCTCCTCCTCCTCCTCCTCCTCCTCCTCCTCCTCCTCCTCCTCCTCCTCCTCCTCCTCCTCCTCCTCCTCCGACTCTAAAAAAATAGGTAAAAAAATAAAATGATGGCGGACATTCAGATGAATCTGTTTCCGGAGATTGAAAGACGACCCAAAGTCCAGTGCAGAGGGAAGAGACTGTTTGTAGGGCGGTGTGCACAATCTGCACCACCCTCCATCAAGCTGTTGTAACTCAAAGGCAACCAAACACAGTAGTAATTGAATTCCTCAGTACTTATAAAAGCTTTGATTGAACAGTGAAACTACGCCCTTTATGTGCCTGTATAATACTGAGAGTCATAAATGATGCATTTGTTCTGTAATAATAGTAATTATTATTATTATAGCAACAGTTAACATTTTTATCTTACAAAATACTATGCACAATTTACAGAAAAGCAATTGTTGCGAATAGATGCTTGGATAATTGGCACATTTATAAACTGTTATCAGAGATATCACAGTGTACTGTGAGCTAACGCTACATTAAATACTCACACAGCTACTGTCTGTCTGTCTGTCTGTCTGTCTGTCTGTCTGTCTGTCTGTCTGTCTGTCTGTCTGTCTGTCTGTCTGTCTGTCTGTCTGTCTGTCTGTCTGTCTGTCTGTCTGTCTGTCTGTCTGTCTGTCTGTCTGTCTGTCTGTCTGTCTGTCTGTCTGTCTGTCTGTCTGTCTGTCTGTCTGTCTGTCTGTCTGTCTGTCTGTCTGTCTGTCTGTCTGTCTGTCTGTCTGTCTGTCTCTCTCTGTCTGTCTTCTGTCTGTCTGTCTGTCTCTCTGTCTGTCTGTCTGTCTGTCTCTCTCTCTCTGTCTGTCTGTCTGTCTGTCTGTCTGTCTGTCTCTCTGTCTGTCTGTCTGTCTGTCTGTCTGTCTGTCTGTCTCTCTCTCTCTGTCTGTCTGTCTGTCTGTCTGTCTGTCTGTCTGTCTCTCTCTCTCTGTCTGTCTGTCTGTCTGTCTCTCTCTCTCTCTCTCTCTGTCTGTCTGTCTGTCTGTCTGTCTGTCTGTCTGTATCACTCTATAGTCATTAAAGTCAAGATTACTATTCATTTCTTCTGTAAAACACAGTAAGTAAGTTAGATATTTGATCCTTTAATTGAGGAGAAACAGTAGTTGTGGTCTTTGTGCATGCTCTTGAATTATAACCTGAAGTAAAATGCAAGGAGCAACCAGAAAGGAGATGTGTTTTAAATTGAGTAAACTGTTCTTGTTATGAGCACAACAAAGAACCCAAAAGGAGGCACAGGATCTCGTCCGGCGTCCGCACAGTGCTACCGTTTCGGATTAAAATCAAAGTTCAGTCTCTGTGTCTTCTTTACACTTTTACACCACCGTACTGATGCCGCTGTGCTTGGGTTTGGTGCTGCTGGGGGCCTGGGAGGGGGCCGTTTGGGGGCCGTGGTGAAGTGGAGCGTGAGGAGGGTGTGTTTGGTGGTGAGGGTGAGGATGAGGAGGGTGAGGAGGGTATGCTGGCTGCTGCCCGTGACCTGTTGCCGGGTGAAACGGGTGTGGAGGGTGCTGCAGGTGGGCTGGAGGGTGATAGTGATGATGATGGTGGTAAGGCGGAGGATTCTGGTGGCAAAACTGCCCGTGGTGAGGGTGAACGGAGGCTTGGGGGTCCGTTTCTGCCCGGGCTGTGTGGTGCAAGTTGGTAGGGTGGGTGGTGTGTGAGATTAGGGTGGGGTGCAGAGCCTGAGGGGTGGGGCTGGGTGACTTCAAACGTCTGCTGGGGCCAAACAGAGTCCCCAGCAGGGAGGAGGAGCTGGGCAGCGATTGGCCGCTGTGTCGGGACGGGCCGTCTCTCGGGGGTCTGCGTCTCATGTGGGGGCTGCTAATGATGGAGCCCTGCAAGAGAGAGAGGGTTAGAGAGAACCAGACACAACACAAAGAAGCCTACTCTTACTATACTTACTAGATACAAGGGAAGGTATACATGCTGCAGATTCAAATTGTATTTAAAGATGACTTAGTCAGGAGACAACGCAAACACAGCACAAAGCCTACTCTACTATAATACGTTTTTTAATAATCTTAATGAAGGTGAGTCGGGGGGGAAGAGCTAGGGTTTATTACGGGGAACCATAGATCACTCTAGGATAACATAGGATAACTGGACTTAAAACCACACTGTACATTTTACATTTATTTCCAATCTAATATTTAACATTCCATTCCTCACATACTTATGTATATAAAATATCCTGCTTTACTTTGTTACTGTACATTTGTAATTCAACATGTATATTTTTCACTTTTTGTATGGGTTTTTGTTTTTTACAGTGTGTACAGAATTCTTCACATAGCACCAACTGCATGACTGGGTACAGCTGACTCTGGCCTTGTGGAAAAGCTTTTTCTTTTCTGGTTCACTGCCTCGTTTCGTCTGTCCATGCTTGCTCTTGCTCGGCTCTCTCTAGGGTAAATAGTCTGGAGGCTTTGCTTTCTGAGCTTGTCAGAGCCTGCAGTATCCGTCCTGTGATGAGCCGAGTGAGTTGCTATCACATCTGGTTTCCAAGGTTACAATACCCTTTTTAATTTTCATGTGCCCCCATTTTTGAGAGTCGCGAGATCTGAAACTGAAAACTGCAGCCTGTATACAGCACACATATTTGTATTCAAGTCCAGGTTCAGGAAGAGTTTCCCATTGTGTGAATATTGCAAAATGTACACTCAGCAAGACAAACAAAATACATCAGATGTCTTTTATATAATGTCACAGTAACACAGATTAACAAGATCACAAAAAAGTAAAATAAATGAAGCAACTTTTTTAGAGCCATGCACAACATGCAAACTATCGACTACGGTTCATCTAATGTGATTCTACAACACAGGGTAGTAACGCGAACAGCAAGGTGGAGTCCCTTTATGATACACAAAGAACAATAAAGATGGATTGTGAGGATTGAAGCTCCAAAGTGTTGCATTATTTATTTTTGATTAATTATCATACCGTCATTTATTTGACTTATGTGATCAGAGCTGGGCTATCAGTTGTATTCTCTGCCGAGTCAATCACAAGGTATTCCTGTCTTTAAATAACCACAATGACTGACATAATGACAGTAACTCATAATGTTTATTACATGATCAAAATTCATTTACTTTTGGTAGCTGTAGCCATCCAACCCAGTCTCACGGCATTTCGTGTTCACCAACACGATTTTTAATCTATTGATTCGTGTTCACCAACACGATTTTTAATCTATTGATTCGTGTTCACCAACACGATTTTTAATCTATTGATTCGTGTTCACCAACACGATTTGCCCCTTTTTTTCGTGTTGCACAGCACGATTTTAAAAGCAATGTATTTCTACTGCCTGCAGCACGTCTTTTTCTCCGGTCGGGTCGAGGAAGACCGGAAGCTGTGTGGTTCATAAAAACATGTTCTTACTCAATATCAAGCCACAGTTATTGCTTTTATTTTAAATCGTATAATTTCGGACTTTTGTTGCCGTGAGGAAAATAAATGGGGCTCAGAGCCTCAGAATACTGAAATCTGTATTTTAAATATTTTTTTCCTTCTAATTCGTATTCTTTTCAAAATAACACACTGTTATTTACTCACCAATAACACACAATTATCCTTGCTTTTATTTATTGGTTTAATTCCATAATCTCGGGCTTTTTTGGCGTCCGTCAGGAACTGAATTTCAAAATAAAAATAACCGGAAACAGACGTAGGACTATAAGGGACATTTCGAGCATCATTGCGATTGTCAACATTTCTGAGTTTAGGATGGCCGAAGACACTACACTACCCATAATCCCCAGCTATCGTTTAGGACTACAGTCCCTGTAAGGTTACGCAGAACGTCAAACAGCTGTGTGAAATGGAACGAAACCACGCCAGACTATCCAAAACTGGAATCGAACGCCCCCCCAGAACTACACATGCTGGCTATTGTGTTTCGCAAAATGTTCTATGGGACGTCTCTACTGAACGTTTCCTTTTTCCCACAATTAGAAGTTGCCAGTATTAAACACATTGGTGTTATCAAATGTAAAACATATAATTAATAAATGGGTGAAAATCGCTTGTGTCCATAATGCGCAGCATTAATACCCACATGACAGTTACTTTGTAATTCTACTCCACTACAATTCAGAGGTTAACCTGGTATTTTTACTCCACTGCATTTATTTGAGTTACTTTGTAGATTCTGATTAATTATGTGAAATATAAACAACCCTTAAATCAGACTTTAGTTACACCTGAGTAAAATTCAGGTAAGGTGATTGTCAAGTGCCAACAATCAGGAGAGATATTTGATAGTTGGTGCTTGAGAAGACTAAACATGTATCTGCAATTGACATGAATGGAAACGAGTAATAAAGTATATTCATATACACAACTACGGTGTAGTTATGCAATGAATGAAACACTTGGGTCACAGGTTCCTCAACAGTGCATTACAAGACATCTATCAATATGTGTGAACCTCCACCATTAAACTGTCATATTCTGCACATTTCTTATTCTATCTACATACATAAGAGTATAATTCATATGTATAATATCAGTTCAAATAAGTGCTTCAACATAGTTAACATTGCAGGAAAGCAATATATTAGACGTTAAGTACTTTGTCAGGCTTAATATTTATCTGTAGATAGATACCCCCAAAGCTTTTTTCTTATTTAAAAGAAGACCTTAATCTGTTATTTAATGTTTAAATAAAGGTTAATTCGTTTTTCTGTTTTGCACATCCTCCTATTAATATCTTTGTACATTCTGCACTAAACTGTTTTATTGTAGAGATCACTTATAGTATCTTCTTGATTTTTTATATTCTATATTTATACTTTCCCCCTATGAAAGTATGTACTCTTAATATTTTTTTAATCAAATAAAACACAATAATTCAATAACGTGCTTTAACCACTAGGCGGTGCACACAAGGTACACACAGCCATAATAACTTTGTATTATTAGTGTAGGACACTTTTGTTTTCGTACAACATCTGAAGATGTGTAATTGTATGCATGCTTTCACATAATTTTACAGCATATTGCTATACTATTTCAGACTCAGTATTTACATTCTTACATTCAAAGAAAATCAGTAATATCTTTAAAGACTACAGTCCTTTTATATCAGCTGTGCACCGTTATGGTGTAAATATAACCTATCTGTGAATTAGATCAAATGTAAAAGTCAGCCGAATTAGTGTTGATACTGCAAGGAGACGTATTGTGTGAAGATACATTGAAGATGTTGTTTAATTGTTGAATATATTTATGATCCACGTCAAGTATTCAGTTTCGGCGGCATTTTCTCAGTTTTTCCAAAGGTCTTCTCATCAGGGCTCTATAAATAAATAACTACGGCAGATCTGTAATATACAATGCAGCCGGACCGTGTATTACAATGCCGTTATGTGATGACTTTCAAAGAGAAAAGCAAGAGCGCTCGGAATAAAGTATTATTTTATTCTTTTAAAATGTTTTCCGGATTTCATATCATATAAACACCAAATCCCAGCATGCATTGCGGCTAAAACATCCAATAAACGAGCTTAAAACCATAGCTGAGGATCTTGGGTAATCGCTCGAAATGCCTACGTCTGTTTCCGGTTATTTTTATTTTGAAATTCAGTTCCTGACGGACGCCAAAAAAGCCAGAGATTATGGAATTAAACCAATAAATAAAATCGAGCATAATTGTGTATTATTGGTGAGTAAATAACAGTGTGTTATTTTGAAAAGAATAACAAATTAGAAGGAAAAAAGATTTAAAAAATACAGATTTCCGTATCCTGAGGCTCTGAGCCATTTATTTTCCTCACAGACGGCAACAAAAGTCCGAAATTATACGATTTCAAATAAAAGCAATAACTGTGGCTTGATATTGAGTAAGAACATGTTTTTATGAACCACACAGCTTCCGAAAAAGACGTGCTGCAGGCAGTAGAAATACATTGCTTTTAAAATCGTGCTGTGCAACACGAAAAAAAGGGGCAAATCGTGTTGGTGAACACGAATCAATAGATTAAAAATCGTGTTGGGGAACACGAATCAATAGATTAAAAATCGTGTTGGTGAACACGAAATGCCGTGAGACTGGGTTGAGCCATCAGTGAAAGTAGTAAGCTAATGTTAGGGTTCAAAGACTGAGTGCTTAAAACACAACTCTGTAGAAAGTGCAGGGTCTTCTACTTTGTGGAAGGTATGGACAGAAACAGTGAGTCTCATTTTATATGCTGAATATTGATAAAATCTCAAAAGCTAATATGATAAGCTAACAGCTAACTTAATTACATTTTGCTTAGGCTAAGTGCCCCAGACATCAGGAACATAATAAATAAGTAAAACATATATTGATAGCTTTCTTCTTAAAGACCTTGTTCTTGCAACAGCTCAAGATTCAAACTTGCAATGAATAGCTACAAAATGTTGCTCCCTCTCAAATAATCTTCAATTCAATGAAGCTAGCTACACCTAGCTTGATTGATAGCTACACTTCACCTAGCCATATGCTAATGGCCCTAACGTTTTTTCTGGTTACAAAGAGTTTATATTAACCATTTAACATATGCCTTTATGCTAGGTTTCTTTCATTGCACCGCACAGCTTGGTAAGTGTGACAGTAATACATGAAAAGGAAGAACTTCATATAAAGGTCAGGGGTCAATGAAAGGAAGCCCTCCGAGTCGTCACTCCAAACTGTAAGCATGCAGTAGCTGGATCTGACTAAGCATAGCCAGATTCACATCTAGTAAACAAAAAGGGACACAATTCAGAAAATTGATACAAGGCTAGCCCACTACACAAGAGGAGGACTCAAACAGGCTCTAACATCGACACAGCCCTATATGTGGGTCAGGAGGATTATTAGTCATGCTGTGTACATCAAGTGTTATCAGCCACAGTGGATCAGCCCAAAGCATGCAGTGACCAAGATGCTCACAACAACAAAAAACACCACCAAAACAGTCAAATAAAAACTACAAAGAAATAGAAAACTTGTGTTCAGAGGGAACAACATAAAGTCGAAGGACAGCTCAGCATCGGTTCAATCCTACTTACTTCCATATTGCTGTCTAGTGATCCTGCACTGCTGCGTCTCCCACGCTTGCCTGGCCAGAACATGCAACATGACAGATTAGACACGCCGGGTTAACACCTGCAGGTGCACATATCTCTTCTAGTGGAGGGGCGCTAGCACCCTAAGGTGACACAAGTGACAGATGACTAGCTAGCAGCAGAAAGGGAGAGGGAGGCGGATAAGGAGAGGGAAGAAGCAAAGCACTGCTACGACTCCTAGCCTCTAGGATACGTCAACTTTAATATTTTCTACTCAGCTACTTGAGGCACAGCTGGAAGGAGACCCTCATATTCAGTGAAAACATTGCAATCTGACAGCGCTAAAGGGAAACTCTGGCAATATACAGTAACATTTCACATCCATTAACTTGCAAGACTCACAAGAGACAAAAAAAGAAGGATGATCCAAATCGAAGCAGAAAAGGCTGATAGGTCCAGATATTTTATCCCAAGTAGGAAAAACAATGTCCAATGTATGCCATAATTTAACCAAATATGTTATTGACTCTCGTCTTTTGGTAAATATTAAATGTTTTTCTGATCTATGGAGGTCACAAACAACTGTCAAGGGCGTCTTAGGCACTCCAGATACCCAAATGCATTTCTGCACACGCTCAGAAAACGTTTTCCCAACAACGGTCAAGAAAGCTGTCCCTCAAGAGTCACTTTTAAACCAACCAAAATCAAACCTCAAATGTATTTAAACTGAGTGATGAAGAGGCAAAACTCTCCTAAAGGAAATATCAAGCATTCAGGAAGTGCGTCAGGTATTGAATGAAATGCCTGACATCATTGGGCTCACAATACTGTTTCCCATTGACATACATTGGGAAGATACGTCTTAATAAAATCAACTTCACAGTCTGAACACATGAATAACCCTCCTAAAATCACTAGGGTCTGAAGATGGTAAAATGCTTCAAAGGCCTCCAAAATCCACTCTTGTTGCTCTCTATCAAAGCTGCTAACTAAACGATGTTTCGTCTCAATTCATCAGCACTGAGAAAGCTGTCCTGTGGTCACTGAATGTGTTTGGCGGCTCTGTCCATCCTGACTCAACCCCACAACATCAGTTCATATTACGACTTAGACGCTCAAATTGATCACAGTGACCTACATGGCGCTCCACTGCCGGCAACGCAGGATTAATAGGTAAGAGCCTCTAGTGAATTACACCTGAGCCCATTAGCAAACACCCATCTCTATTTCCTTCGCTGCTCAGAGGCTCTGTTCACTCTGCATCAGAAGGTCAGTCGCAGTGGCTACCGCCCAGCAGGAACTCAGCTTCTTCCTGTGATGGAAACTTCTGAAGCAATGGAGACTCAGAGAGGCACGAGGAGAGCAGGAACTTTGATGGCAAACACTGATGGTTTATTTGGAGACGTGCTGAGCCACGAGGTGACACAGCTCCTGCCAAACCAATTCTGAAGATCTCGACCCCAGACCCATGTATTTAGCTAGTTCTGAGAGAATAATCAGCATTGTGCATAACAAGAAAAAGCACTATAATAACACTTCTATCAGTTGATGCCAACAGGCAGGAACAGGGAGACAAAACACTGAGAGCAGCCCAAGGGTGCAGGCCTGTGCTCAGTATACAGTATATATAACTAATGCTGTTGATGTATTGTGATTTTAAAAAGGTGTCTATTCCCATCCGGCCGGGGACAACGTTTGTTGTGACAGTTGATCAATGGGGACTGTCCACAACACTATAAACAAATAAACTAAACAATACAAACTGATAAACTGGGTCAAAGTTATGGGCCTAGGAAAATATTTCCACAACACTTCCTAGTTTCCTAATCAAATAACATCAGGAGCGAACGGTATAATGCCGGCTTTGGGTATACTTTTGTCTAGCATTAGGAGACATGAGTTAGTATGGTATCCCCTTATTTTACCTGCGTCTGAGAGGTCTCGTAGGGAGCTGCTGAGTGCGCTCCTCTTCAAACCTTCACCAATGGCGTAGCTGTCGTCGAGGCTCCCGCGACTCAGAGACCCGTTTCCCGTGTCCTTCTTCATGGCTGAAGTCTGGGACATGCTGGGCCTCACGATCCCCTTCTGTTTCTCTAGCTCAGCTGTGAAGAAAGAGACACAATGTTAAAGGTGTTATACATCAATTTTCATCAATATATTATAGGTCTCAGATATATACAGAGCCTCTCTCTGATTGGCTGCAAACACCAAACAGATCATTGCAGCATTACCCATAATCCCCTCTGTTTCAGCCCTGTTTCCAAAGTGCTGATTCTCTGTCTGTTACTTTAGATGAAAATAAGGAGCCCCTCCCCACGCCCCTCTGAGAGATATTTGGTTACATAGAACTCAATGGTGCTCTAGGAGGAGGTTCAGGTGATAAGGGGGGGGGGGGGGGGGGGGGTTACCTTGGTGGCTGATTGGCTAATGGTTACACAAGACCAAACATCGTTATGACATCACAAAGTGGCCAAAATCTGATCAGCTCATTTTCAGACAGGTTTTTTATAGAAATGGATCAAAAAGAGAGAGAATCTTTGTTCCTGAAACTTTCAGAGTCTCTTTACACAGAGGGGACACATGTTGATGTAGAAGAGACATGAAGAAGAGGGGACACATGTTGATGAAGAAGAGACATGAAGAAGAGGGGACACATGTTGATGTAGAAGAGACATGAAGAAGAGGGGACACATGAAGAGACATGGAGAAGTGGGGACACATGTTGATGTAGAAGAGACATGAAGAAGAGGGGACACATGTTGATGTAGAAGAGACATGAAGAAGAGGGGACACATGTTGATGTAGAAGAGACATGAAGAAGAGGGGACACATGTTGATGTAGAAGAGACATGAAGAAGAGGGGACACATGTTGATGTAGAAGAGACATGAAGAAGAGGGGACACATGTTGATGTAGAAGAGACATGAAGAAGAGGGGACACATGTTGATGTAGAAGAGACATGAAGAAGAGGGGACACGTGTTGATGTAGAAGAGACATGAAGAAGAGGGGACACATGTTGATGTAGAAGAGACATGAAGAAGAGGGGACACATGTTGATGTAGAAGAGACATGAAGAAGAGGGGACACATGTTGATGTAGAAGAGACATGAAGAAGAGGGGACACATGTTGATGTAGAAGAGACATGAAGAAGAGGGGACACATGTTGATGTAGAAGAGACATGAAGAAGAGGGGACACATGTTGATGTAGAAGAGACATGAAGAAGAGGGGACACATGTTGATGTAGAAGAGACATGAAGAAGAGGGGACACATGTTGATGTACAGTAGAAGAGACATGAAGAAGAGGGGACACATGTTGATGTAGAAGAGACATGAAGAAGAGGGGACACATGTTGATGTAGAAGAGACATGGAGAAGAGGGGACACATGTTGATGAAGAAGAGACATGAAGAAGAGGGGACACATGTTGATGTAGAAGAGACATGAAGAAGAGGGGACACATGTTGATGTAGAAGAGACATGAAGAAGAGGGGACACATGTTGATGTAGAAGAGACATGAAGAAGAGGGGACACATGTTGATGTAGAAGAGACATGGAGAAGAGGGGACACATGTTGATGTAGAAGAGACATGAAGAAGAGGGGACACATGTTGATGAAGAAGAGACATGAGGAAGAGGGGACACATGTTGATGTAGAAGAGACATGAAGAAGAGGGGACACATGTTGATGTAGAAGAGACATGAAGAAGAGGGGACACATGTTGATGTAGAAGAGACATGGAGAAGAGGGGACACATGTTGATGTAGAAGAGACATGGAGAAGAGGGGACACATGTTGATGTAGAAGAGACATGAAGAAGAGGGGACACATATGTTGATGTAGAAGAGACATGAAGAAGAGGGGACACATGTTGATGTAGAAGAGACATGAAGAAGAGGGGACACATGTTGATGTAGAAGAGACATGAAGAAGAGGGGACACATGTTGATGAAGAAGAGACATGAGGAAGAGGGGACACATGTTGATGTAGAAGAGACATGAAGAAGAGGGGACACATGTTGATGTAGAAGAGACATGAAGAAGAGGGGACACATGTTGATGTAGAAGAGACATGAAGAAGAGGGGACACATGTTGATGTAGAAGAGACATGAAGAAGAGGGGACACATGTTGATGTAGAGGAGACATGGAGAAGAGGGGACACATGTTGATGTAGAAGAGACATGAAGAAGAGGGGACACATGTTGATGTAGAAGAGACATGAAGAAGAGGGGACACATGTTGATGTAGAAGAGACATGAAGAAGAGGGGACACATGTTGATGTAGAAGAGACATGAAGAAGAGGGGACACATGTTGATGTAGAGGAGACATGGAGAAGAGGGGACACATGTTGATGTAGAAGAGACATGAAGAAGAGGGGACACATGTTGATGAAGAAGAGACATGAGGAAGAGGGGACACATGTTGATGTAGAAGAGACATGGAGAAGAGGGGACACATGTTGATGTAGAAGAGACATGGAGAAGAGAGGACACATGTTGATGTAGAAGAGACATGGAGAAGAGAGAACACATGTTGATGTAGAAGAGACATGAAAATGTGAATTTTGCATAATAGGGGACATTTAGGAGTAAATCCAGACTTTTTAAATACATATTTAAAAATTAGACGTGCAACTTTTTCTCACATTCTATCCGGTACTTCTCCATCTCTTGGACTTCAGAAATAGATTCTCGCAGATCGTCAGTGAACTTTTTGCGGTCCTGAGGATTTGGTGCATTGAAGTTGATGAGGACTTTGATGTCTGCTCCGGGAATGGCTGACGTCAGACGCACTCCGTTGGGATAATCTAAAGAGTGACGTTATCAACAATTAGCCAAACAAAATATACCTATCACCAGGAGAGTCTGTAGAAGTTAGAATTGTCTCAGAAACAGACACTTCTGCTATCTTTAAGGTGTCAGTATGCTTCAAACCAAATGCTTGATTGTTTGATGCTGACTGTCCCTCCATACTTTTCTGATATCAAACTAAAGTTTTCAACCGTTGGTTTGTGGACTACAGTTCTGAAGCCTTTATCATAGTCTTCTTGGTTTTAAGCTGTCACCGTTTTGGTAAATAAACCAGGAGTGACAGTAAGGGGTGAAGCTAAGTCAACCAAAGACCTAACAAGACTTTTTAAGGCGACAACATTTTTACAATTCACTAAAAATAAACTATGATAGGGACACATTTGATGGATACAATGGCACCATAAACTCGACAGGAACTTTTTTTCCGAGGTCATACATTTAGAGAGAAATATGGTAATTTTCTCATTGACTTCTATGAAATCAGACTTGTTTTTTTAACCAGTGTCGTTGCCCCCTGCTGGCTATGCAAGGTAACTGCACATATGCACTGGCTCTACTATTCAGATCCCGAAGTTGCTGATCATCATCTTTAGTAAGGTCATAAAGAGTGAATTATGGTCCTTTTTTTTGTAGACTTCTATACAATCAGACTTCAGTTCGAACTGAAGTTGCCCCCTGCTGGCTATGCAAAGTTATTGCACATCTGCATTGGCATCACTATTCAAACACTGAGGTTGTGGCTTGGTTCTTATCCTGCTTTGGGGCAATTCTAATCAGCTTTCAAAATGTTTGCCTTTACAAGGGTTTCTCATGCAAACTTGATCATTGCAAGCATACTGACTTAGAGCTTAACCTGTTAAGCCCTGAGCCTGTTTTTCAGGTCTCAGGCTCGAAAATGACATTCCCAGAACAAATGACCATATCTTCCCTTCTAAAAGGGGTAAATTAATAATCTTTTTCTCAAAGTAATGATAAACCTGTGAGTTGGATGTAGAAGAGTCAGAATCAATATAGATGTTTTTTATTTTAAAGAAAATTCAGATTGAACATGGTAAAAAACTGTAAATTATAGTGTCCGTCCAAAAATTATTTTTTACTTATAGTGAAAACTACCCTTGGATGATGGTAAGGTAGACTAAAAGCTTTAGGAATCCAAAGTACAACATATAATAAGTACCCTGTATCAAGACTGATGCAAAACAAGTGACATTTGACATTTTTAGAGGTTTAGCAAAACAAACTCCACCTCTGAGGTGATTTGGGTGGAAATGGCCGTTTTTACCGTTTCTCTGGAACCCATTGGTCGATTTTGGTGATTGACATCTATTTTTGACCGTTAGAGCCAATAGAATCGAAGGGGAATTTCCCCATACACACAAACGGTAAAAAAAAAAAAGTGGGGGCTTTGCGCATGCAGGTTTGCATCAGAGTGAACCTATCTCTCGCTCTGACATCTGGAAACGGAAACGCAGGTTTATTGATTCTGGATTATCAAAAATCATTTCAAAGGGACACAGACACATTGGATTAACCTATGGATTAAGTTCAGCAGCGTTTTTTATCGTTTTAATGCCATTGAAGACCACTTTTGACCAGACTACGACCAAGGTGAGCCATGTTGCCGATTTTAGCTACCTAGCGCCACATGTTTTGATGTCTGTTCTTGTTAATAGCTTCACGAGTTCTCATCATGGAGTGATGATGTATGTACCTATTGATTCTGTGTCATCTCACGATCAGATCGATGATCAGCTACGATAAGTAATAAGGGTGTTATGAGTGAGTTTCTGTGCAACACGCCGTTAGCATTTTTCGCTCGTGGCTAATTCATAGGCTCAGCGCTAGCTTTGTGGGTTTAAAAAAAAAAAAAAAAAAAATCAGTTAGCTGAGTTTCTTCCCGTTACATGGATATAAAACATTCATAGTTTATTGAATATTAAGATGCCCTCAGACACTGTGTCCTGCAGCGTTCCCCCCCCCGGTATCGGGGTGCTGTGTAGAAGAGGTTAAGCAAGACTCATACCCAAACCCTAACCCCATTGCACTTACACTGATTCTCAAAGATTAGCACTTGCATGCCATAAAGTGAGAAGGACTGCCGAAAGCTGTACGTCACAGAGTTCTTCTTCTTTTGGAAAATCTTAGTGACCTATGAAAAAGAACATGGCATATACAGAGGTGAGACTCTTTTCACTCCAAGTGTGTTTTCAGTTTGTTGAATGAATAATGTCTTCCTCACCACTAGCAGGTCATTGAAGAGGAAGATCTCCCGTTGGTGGACACCCAACTTTTGTGGTTTGTTAGGGTCGGGTACTTCAAAAAGTCTGCAGTAACAGACCAGTCTCCGGTGTGGTAAGGATAGCACCTGCACAAATACAGCCTCATTCCTTAGTATAACAGTTATATACTTTATGCCTTTCAAAATGTTTGTTGTCTGCTCCATCGAGCCTTTGGGGATATATTACAAATACCTCCACTCAACCCTAAGAAGTAGACGACAGAAAGAGAAATACTTACGCAGCCCAGACCGTGGTGCAACGAGCCAATCTATGGAGGGAGAGTCATTTTACAAGGATCAGTACACACATAATATGGAAACTTTAAAATTCACCATACATCAAAGAAAAGACATTCCACTTAATGTTCCACAAGAAAAATGAGCAACATTTAAAATCAGGAAAACTAGTTTCATGGATCACGGGGCAAACATTTACGCATTCCTCACATTCATCTTTTACAGTACGTTGTGTTTCCAATGTTCGCAACGCTCTATGATCACAACTGCTTCAAGGTCCCTTGGACTCCTGCCGAAGTGTGTCACCAAAGTGGAGTTAGTTAAATAAGGATATTAATGGACCTGAAACAAAGCGTATGGTTTCAAGTAAACACCTTCAAGATAATGTGGTGTGTTTATATCGTTTATTATTACAGAGCTTGTCAGACCGCACTTTTTCTCGTCTGGCTCTTAGGGCAAAAGACACATTACAGTCATTCAGCATGAAGGTCTCCGGCCTTGAAGAATTGATGTGTCACACAGCGGAGAAAGAAGTTTCATGTTAAGAATGCTCTTTCATTTATTTTTCGTTTTTAGACATTGTTGGCCATGAATAAGCCAGGGCTCTCTGCGACAGCTCAGAGGCACGTTGGGTCATTTAGTTCTGCATGCTCCTGAATGGAGGGTAAGATAAAAGTGGTCACACTCTACGTGAAGAAGCCCAAGGGCAGACTTACCGGCTTCTTCCCAACAATGAGTTTTTCCACTTTCTGAACCTGGGACATGTGGTCTTCATTAGTTTTGAGCTCTCGCTTGCGAATCCGCTCATATATCCCTACCAGCATCTCTCGGGGGATGTCTTCCCCATCATCCACCCCTGTAAGAAGAGGAGAAAAGAGAGAAAAAACAGACGGATTAATGATTAATTCAGATATTTATGAGAGTTGATGAACCCCTGAGTTTACTTGCTGCAGCGTTGCACACATCTCTGACAGAACAGAAAGAAATGTCCTTCAGAGCTCTCTAAGGACGAGCATCCACTCAATACTGTACTTTAATTACTCACACTCCACCAGGCGGAGAAATTAGTTAGCCATGCCACAAAGCCCCTGCTAATACCCTCGAAATCTGTTCAGGGTAACTCAAAAGTGGTTTTTGCCTCAACAGCAAAGCTTTTTTGGCGCTGAAAATTAAATACCTTATTGACACGGCTATTAATCAAGGCAATATGCATGCACAAAACTCCATTTAGAGTTAATATTTATCCCTGAAGCTGCATATCGGTGTCAAAAGGCAATATTGGCTTTGTGACAGTCAGCTGGATACGGTGCAGGACGAGAGGACAAAGTACACTACAAAAACTTGAAATCTAGTCAGAATATGTCTCTACACCTGATATAAGACACAATAACTTCAGAAGTAACACTGCAGTGAGATATCGGGTTTTGTTTTAGACAATGCATCATCTTGTTAAGTCAAAAAATCTTATTTTAAAACACATATTTTTTTTATTTTTGTTAGAAAATCACCAACTAACATCAGAAAACTGAAAACTTTACTGATTCTGGTCAAATATAGTTCAAAATGAGTTTTCCCAGCTAATTACAAGATCTGATTTATCTAAATATCCCTTCTTATTTAAAGAAATCTTACCGAGCTAATTTATACTTGTTCTATTGGCAGACTTTTGTGCTTATTTCAAGTGAAAACAACTTGTTTTCATTATTGTTTGACTTGTTTTTGGAGCAGCATTTTTTCCAGTGTACCTCGAAGGTTTTTCACAAAGTCCTCCAGCTTCATCTTCCTCTCTGGCTTCACGTTGGGGCTGTACATGTCGGTGTTGAGGAGGATGATGGCGAAGGCAAGGATGAAGATGGTGTCGGGGTTCCTGAACTGTCGCACCACTCCAGGGTTACAGATGCAGTAACGTTGGCTGTGAAGAGAATATCGGACACAGAAAATATAAAGGGCGAACTCTACTGAAATGGCAAGAAATACTGTATACATTACATTGTATTGTGTACATTTTAAATGTTTGTTTTTCCATGTATTGTGTCTTGATATTTGTCTATGATGATGTTACACATGGAGCTGCTGTGATGCAAGTCAAATTGCAGACTTGATCTGACCATTAAAGTATTATCGTATTGTATCGTATCGTACATTACTTTGTGTTTGTCCTGTGGTCAAAATTGTATTTAGCAAACTTTGGAATCTTAAGTATTTTCTGCCGTGATCAACGTTGTTTCGTTGTGTTTGATGAGCTTTGGTGGAGAAATATCTGTGTTTGCAGGCACTAAAATACATTTCATTTTATTACATGTCTGAGTTGAATACTGAATTCTGATTGGTAAGTTTGGACATTCCAGGGGTCGCTAATTTTCACTAATAGACTGTTGCTAATGAGAACAGACTGTTGCTAAGGAGAACAGACTGTTGCTAAGGAAAGGAAAGTCAGTCATATCAATGTGCAGAAAGAGGTCCGTTCAATTCAACGTCTGCTGTGGATTTCTCCAACAATTTAATTTCTGGATAACAAAAAAGATATTATCAAGTTTGGTTGACTACTTTACTAACTTAAATTGCTAATGGTTGACAGAAAGCCTTGTTCAAAATGGGGAAGGGACACATTTTAAATTGTTCTTCAGTCATCAGTACATCATTGTCATTGACTTGGAATTTTGGTGTGTTTCCAAAAGAAGCACTCAACTAGATGCCGTTTCCACTAATAAATCCAAAATGTACATTAAAATGTTGACAGTTGACTGTGTATCATTTAAAGTTATAATTTATTACAAACAGTGATGAGAGATACAATGTTAGATCTATCTATCTATCTATCTATCTATCTATCTATCTGTCCGTCCGTCCGTCCGTCCGTCCGTCCGTCTGTCTATCTATCTATCTATCTATCTATCTAACCAACAGGAAGTTCACCTTTATTGCCCCTGTCACACTGTCCCGAAATTGACACCCGATGGACACACGATAAAGGAAATGTTCAAATTCGGCTGTGATCGTAGCAACATCGGGCCATTCGTGAGGGCATCTAAGCATCGTATGACCGCCGGTGGAGTTTCTCAGGCTCCGGCAGCAACTTCGTGAGCGGCAACTTCGTAAGGTACTCGTGAAGGCATCTTGTCAAATCGTGTCATCTTCGTGTTATCATCGGTGCATTCACCCTCACTCTGATCGGGGCGAATGCCCGATGGCACCGATGATAACAAGATGCCCTCACGATGGCCTTACGAAGGGCAAAATTGACACACAAATTCAACACGAAAATGAACCTTCGCAAGGTCCTTCGGCAATTTTTTGGCATGCCAAAGATTTTGCCACCGCTCACGAAGTTGCTGCCGGAGCCTGAGAAACTCCACCGGCGATCATACGATGGCTTAAGATGCCCTCACGAATGGCCCGATGTTGCTACGATCACAGCCGAATTTGAACATGTCCTTTATCGTGTGTCCATCGGGTTGTTTTATTGCACAACAAAATCATGCAAACATATTATGTAAATAACCCAATTTGTGTTCTGTGAAACTGAAAAGGATATCATATATTATTTTGAAGGAGAGTTGACAGGAAGTTGTTGTTGCTATGGAAACAACATTACGGAGAAAACGTAATATTTTCTACATATAAAGACGGATAAAGTAAAGAACAAAGTCTGAAGATATCAGTACAGTATCATAGTACTGTAACATAATTGTTTTTGGTACTTTCATTGCAGTTGTATGTCTTAAATGTAATGTAAATGTTGCCTTCGTGTGTGGTTCGGGGCCATCTTCGTGCGAAATTCACAATTCCATATTCGTGTGTCCATCGGGTGTCAATTTCGGGACAGTGTGACAGGGGCTTAAAGGAAAAAGCATCAGTACAAATCGTTTTATAGATGCAAAATTAATCGGTATCCTTCCCTATTAGTTCCACTCATGGGCAGGAATATCAATATTGATGATCTTCACTCCTTAAGGCCACAGATATTAAAGTAAGGTTTCAAAGCCTCAAGTCAACAGACCAATAATCCAGCACCACATTAGACTGTCGATACAGCCTGCAGCCATCACGCAGGATGTTAATCTGCTCTCTGAGTCACCATAAAGGGATGCTATGATCATATCTTTACTGCAGGCAAGCACCATATGATCAGTTATTGTTATCTCCCTGTTACAGTGACTGTTTACTGAGAGGAAATGTCCTTGTCCAGCAGATGTTCTGTGGGCATGAGAACACCTTTTCTACCTGAGGTTAGGAGGAAATAAACGAGTTACAAACAACATCCATCAGCAGCCCTGAGGGAGGTTTCCATCAACTTTAAGAACATTTCTCTAAATGATTATTTTGTAATGATCTGGACGAACACAGCCTGGGTTTTAAGGGCTTTACACTGATGTACTTAAACCGAAAGAGTGTTAAGGACACTGACTTTGTGGTATCGACTCGATATTCATGATAGACCTGGTGCAAAGCTATCTTGTACTATCCTCTATTCATACACCCTCGGCCTGTTTGTGTTTTTATCATGTTCTGTTGCTTTTATCTCTGATAATAGTTAACACATTGTACAGTGTCCTTGGGTGTCATGAAAGGCGCCCTAAATAAAATGTATTATTATTATTATGGTAGATACTGTACTTACATGGCGATGAACCCTCTAACAATCATCCTGTCACATTATCCTGAATTGGTCGAATTTGAGACCTAATGGAGTGGAGCAGGAGTGATTGTAGCTAGATGTCTGAAATAAGGTCTGTGGTTCACACAAGCTTTAGAGATTGTCATGTTTTGTTCTACAACGTAAAATAAGTCAGTAAGTTCCCCACTGGTGAATATCCGTTGATTCTTTGTGTTATAAAAACAAGCATTTGCTAACAATATATAATGTCATGAGTTTCCCACCTGTATGCCTCTATGAGCCGCTCCACCTTCTGAGCTTCTCCCTGAACTCTGATGTGCGCCTGAAATTTCCTGAGCGCTTCGTCCAGCTCCATGCTCGAGAAGTCCATTTCATCCACCACACAGCTGGAGGACACAACGCACATTAATGGCAGTCAGTTTGGATAGGAAAATACACAATCCTTTCAAAAGGTGAATAACTGGCTAAAGGTGTGAGAGTATATTTATCTGCTAGAAATAAAGACGGCTACAGTGCCTTAGTTATTATTGTGAGAGTCAACTAGCCAAGTTCTTAATACTATTCCTTCCATTTTAACTTTTGATATTTAAGTATATTTTACTGCGTACACATTTACTTATGCTTCTATTCACATATTGTCACGCTGTTATGGTGATCAAGTTATGAAACAGTTTACTTATTTACCAAAACAGAATACAGAAGGCACACTGGTTAGATTTCTGATTCTGGCAACTGGAGGAAAATAGAACATTTGAAACAAATAATCATGTTATTCAAACTTGTTTACACACAACGTCTGAGCTGATGCCACCAGGATGAATTTAGGGCCAATGTCATTGTGACTTCGTCACTGTGGACTGACGGCTTCGGGCCTTGTACTATTGCACATGTGGTTTTATTTTGAAAAGTGTTTCCCTTTCCTCATGTCTGTAACTCCTGATTGTTTTCACCTGGTGCCCTATGTTGTCTCCTCCCCCCCCCCTCCTGTGTCTAATTGCTGATTAGTGTGTGGGTATTGAGGCTCTGTTTCCCTGTCTGTGTTGGCTGGTAGTGTGTGTGAGATCCTTGTGGTGGCTGGTGACTGTGTTCACGTGGGCATCAGATTGAGGCCGTGTCATATGTTTACGATGTAATAAATGCCCACACCGGGTTGTATTTTGGACGTTCTGCCTCTGCCTCCTTGCTTGGTCGGGCCGCTCAATTATCGGCGTCACAGTCATAACTCTCTTTGAATATTTAGGGCTAACCCTAACCCATAAACTCCTGACAACAATATCTGGCTTTATAGTTGACAAATGCTCCATTCATTTCATCAGGTTTCACTGTCTGAGGTTTGGTGTTTGGTGGTGAGATTTTAAGCCAAAAACAGCTGCTTTCTGCTGGAAAGGACTTCCATGACAGCAGTTAGACTGAACTACAACAGCAAAACAAAGAACAAGGACTTGAATGAAACCAAAAAGCTTCATAGAGATGATGATTACTGGATTGCCAGGTGATAATGATATATGGATTTGTCTCCACACAACCCTAACCCTAAGCCTTGTTCATTACCCAAATATTAGGACATAAAGTTAATGCCTGACTTTTACTTATAAAGGAGCATATGTCAACTGTGATACTGACACTTTTACTTAAATAAAGAACTTTTTTCCAACACTGAAGTAAGGATTGTATCTCCAGAGCCCTTATACTGCGGTATCTTGCATGTCAGGATTAATAGAAGTTTTCTCAAGGAGCCCTTTAGATATGCCTGTCAAACTGACAAAGAAGGACCTTTACTGGCCTTATCCTCCACATAATCTCAATGGGCTCCGATAGTGCTGCTGCGCCTCAAGTGTGTTTCAGATAAATCTGTCCAGTCTAAAGCTGTTTTGATAATCACTGCTGGGAAAAACAAGAACTTTATGACTTCACTCTCTCGCTTTAAAAGGACTGAGAAATATAAAAGGAGTTTGTGTTTATCAGAGCATCACAGCAATTTTCTTGAGTAGGATCTATTTCTGTAACTTGAGTCATTATGTAGTTCTCAGAAACTTTGAAGACGGTTTCAATGAGTCTAGATTGCAAGCTGGAAACCCTATTTGCAATTAAATGGTGATATTTATGCTCCCAAAAGGAAGATAACATAAAAGCCAAATCAAAAGACGGTTTAATGTGTCATAGAGTATGTAGAAAACTATTCGGTGCACACTCACTCGAGGACATCTCGGTTGAACTGCTTCTGTCTGTTACCCAGGAACTCGCCAATCATCTGCCTGCTCAAGCCTTTCCTCTGCAGCAGGAAGTGAGCCACGCCCACCGGAGTGTCGGGAACAAAGTTTCGATCTATCAGATACTGGATGCCTTTTTCTGGTTTCCTGGAGAGAGAGAGAGAGAGAGAGAGAGAG